CGTGTGGGACATGCTTGGCCGACGAGTTGCAGCCCGTCAACCTCCTCCTACATGTCTACCGGAACTTCGGAGAGAGAGCATTGCTTTTGAGTGGTGTAATATCCCCCAAGATCAGATCGATAATTTGATACTCAGCATACCTAGGCGTTGTACGGACTGTATTGCATGTCTGGGAGACATACAATGTATTAACAATCATACCAACCATGTAATATTGGTTTTTTGTAAATAGTTTTTTTTTTTTTTTTTTTTTTTGTAATTGCTCCAGGGAGGAAAAAATCGCTATTTTTTTAATAATATCAAACATATAGCATCTTTTTTTGCTCTTTACCTTTTGTTTAATAAATAAGCTTTACAAATAAGTCAAATTTGTTTTGCTTCTAACTCTTCCTTTGCTCGATTTTGCATTATCCTTAATTTATGAACATGAGTGTATATTGCTGATAATATGTGGAGTTGACCTTAGCCCTTTTCTCCACTCTCTTTATTTTCAAATCTCTTTATTTTCAATTTGTCGTTATATCCAAAACCAAGCAACAACCCTAAATCCCTTTTAAAAACTTTCTTTAGATTCTCTGAACTATGTTTAAAGATTTTTTCTCTTGTTTGATGATAATAAATAGATCTTTTTTTATCACAGTTATTTAAATATACCCAAGATTTATCTATTGTGACAATACAATTTCCATTTTTATCCAAATAATTGTCTCGTAGAGAATTCTGCAGCGCATTCTGTTTTCGGCAATATTTCATGGAGAAAGATGATGCACATTAAATTTTTTTCATCTTTTTTTAGATTCAAATCAGCATTAATAATTTTGTTTACAGTTGACACTGAGCATCTTTTTGACTTTGAAGATTTTTTCCCCCCTTTGCAACATTTGAAACATTAATTCCTTGTTTCTTGGATACCTATTTTGAACAATTTTTCTCTTTGAATCCAAACATTAACCTTTTTCTCCCTCCTTAGCAATATTATCTATTGTTGCTTTAGAAACCGAAAAATCATGGTTTTCACAGCATTTTTTAATAACTAAATACCAATAATTTTCTTTGGAAAAAGCATAAACATAGCCTTTCCTCAATTACTTCTTTGTAAGCACCATTTTGCATGAAAACAAAATTGTCAAACAGCAGATGATAATTTACATTTTCAAAAATATAGCTGAAGTTAAAACCAAATTTTCCAAGTAGGTAGTTTTTTTAATAGCAAAGCAAGGTCTAAAAAATGTGCAAACATCCTCTGTATGTGTTTGAACTACTACAGCAAGTAGCTAAGCCATTATTAATTTTGAATTACTTCCAATTTGTTTGTGCATGAGCAAGCAGCACTGTCCCTAAGCTGAAAGTGTAATGAGTGAGTGGCATGAGAGGTAATGGTTGGTGTGGGGCTTTAGGTGTTCTATGAAAATCTGAGCAGTAAAACATAAAGATGTGTTTACTGATGTTTCAATCTATTGACAGAGTCAAGAGACTACATAAATGAAAGGGGCTCTACTCTTATATGTGTCTTAAATATCACCAAATGTGGTGATATGTGTTCTGCGCTGGTTTTTGGCGTGACTGCGTGTTGTATGGCAAACCTGTTGACATTGAAAAATCTTTTGGTGGAGTGGTTTAATTAAGGGGCAGTGAGTATTTGGAGGTGTGGAATTAGGATCTGGGAGATTAATATTAGTGGCTGTGCATGATAGAAGTAGGGAAACGCTAATTCAGTGTATTAAAGAGTAGATTGAGCCTGGTACAACTATTTTTTCGGATGGATGGAAATCTTATAAAGATTTAGGAAAAGAAAGTTTTGAACATTTATTTGTGAAACATAGTATGAATTTTCTGGATAGTGTGTCTGGCTGTCATATAAGTAGGATAGTGATTACGTGGTGGCATGTTAAAGCGATATGAAATTGGTATTTCTGCTGTTCGAAAAAGCATTCATTCATGGTAAGTGCATTTTATCTTATTCTTGTTCTTATTTTGTAGAATGTTATGTTCATTGTTTTTTTAGTATGAATTTCTGTTGTTATTGTTGTTTTTTGAATTGACTGAAATTTATTTTAGTTTATTTTGTTTATTAGTGCATAGTGCCTAGATTGTGCAATTTGTAGATATTTTTTAAGTTGAAACAGAAAGCTGTGTACATGGTATTCTTTGAAATTTATTGTTGTTATGTTAATTTATTAAAAGCGAGGTGTGCGTAGTTCGCAAATTCATTTGTTGCCTAGATTGTGCAATTCACAGACGTATTTTTAAGTTTAAACAGGATGCTGTGTATATGGTATTCTTTGAAATTTATTGTTGTTACGTTAATTTATTAAAGCGAGGTGTGCGTAGTTCGTAGATTTGTTCATTGCCTTAATTGTGCAATTCGTAGATGTTTTTTAAAGTTAAAACGCTGTGTACATGGATTCTTGTCAAATATTTTTGGTTAGAAACTTGACGTTTTTCCTACCTAAATTTTTTGTTTTTGTTTTGGATTTTTAGCTTAAATTGTGTGTTCAAAACATGGTTTTTGCATGTGCGAAAACCATGTTTTTGGAGACATTTTTAGGCTTAAAGTTCGAAATGTAGACAAAAAATTTAGAGAGTAATAGGGCAGCAAGGAGTTTCTCACCAAAAATGTTTGGCGAGAAATTTGCCGACCTGAGGGCACATATAAGAGTAGTTCCATGAAAGGTTATAAACACAATTCAGCAAAACTGAACAAACTTGCATTAACAAAACTTAGGGAGTGCAAAACCTGTTCCATTAGGACCCAAAGCAGCTTATGCCAACAAATGTAAAAAGCATGAAAGATTCTTATGAATGGAAGTGATATTAATTGTAAGCTATACTTAATTCAGATTCCTATATTTATTTGTTTCTTAAAAATTAAAAACAGGTATCTGTGAGACAAGTGTAAGACAAACAGCATTTACAGAACAATTCATTACATTTCTAGCAGAATATCTTGAATGTATTTCATTCATAAATACCAGGATTTATGTCTCGTACAGAAAATTTCTCTTTGCCCTTCATGAAGCATTTTAACAGCACTGACTCATCTTACATCTCAGACTGTCTTACACTCAGATTTCAATAAAGTATTCCTACTCATATTGAAATAAATTTACATTTCTCTTCCCCCTCCTGTTCTGTTTGAACACCTAATGATTGTCTTTTAATGCTGCATATTTAAAAAGAATTAAAATCATCAAACTGTAGATCTACTAGTTATGAATTAAAATCATCAGATGACAGATCCACTAATTGCAGATTAAAACCATGAGAAATGTAATGACATTAATATGGCTGACGTCACTAAATTTCTCATGGTCACTTAGCTCCTGATAATGACAATTAGATAACTTACAGAAAGAAATAAAAAAAAAAAAAAAAAAAAAATCTACTAACTACATAACATCTAGAAGCTTAAGAATTACTTTCAAAATATGATACAGAATTAATTTATACAGTGTGTCCAGAATTAAAGATCACTATTCCAAAGTTGCCTACAGGTGAACCCACTCATCAGACGACTGTGAAATTTTGCGGTTGGTCTTCTGCAATGATGGGATGAGAATGACTTTCAGGGAAAAAATGTTAGTTACAAATATCAGAACTCCTCTGTTATTTGGATCAGATTCAGAAATGTATGTATGTATGCACATGTGTGTGTATGTACGTATATGTGTATATGTTTGTTTTTAATGCACACACATACATATGTATATACATACATATATTTCAGAATCCGGTCTCGATAACAGAAGAATACCCAAATATCGCCACAGGAGGGCATTGTATTAATAAATAATGCATGTACAATAGTTTTACAATTTTATAAATTTTATTACATGTTTTATTGATAGCCATAATTTTCAGCTACCATCCGAAAACACAAGATGGCATGTTTCACAGTTGACCTAAGTGTGTGCAGAGAAATGCTGAGTATGTGGTGTGAAATGCTGGCTTTAAAATAAGGTAAAATTCTTGGATTGTTGCAATTTACCAGATGTTTAAAATTCCTTCAAAGCCAAAAATCATGCGGATTGTGGTCTGAGGATCCGGAAAGCTACATGAGTGCCAGCTAATGGCATGGTAAAATGACATTTAGGAACATTCATAACACACAGTGCAATGTAAGGAGGAGCTCCATCTTGTGTTCATTACCTAACAGAAATTCATATCACTGCCCGGTGATCAAGCATGTCACTGGACCTGTAGAACTGAACTCCTCGGAAAAATATGGACCAAGAATAAATTATGCAGAAAATCCACATCATGCCATCACTTTAGGTGAATGCAACAGAACTCTAAGTATTCTAGTGCTCATGATAAGTTCAAAATCATGTGCAGGCAACCATTGCACCAGTGAAAGTATGTAAAGAATATCTAAGGATATTCCACAAGATGTCATGGTCAGTTGAAAAAGGCCTATCCAACACCTGAGCTACACACTGGATACTGGTGCTAGCCTGAAAGTTTGAAGCTGTGTCCTCTACAACCAGTACAGGTTGCAAGGTTCACTTCAGGTGGTAGAAAAATGTTTTTTTCCTCCTCCAAGGTGAACAGTAAACAACTCTGCTTCTTTAAATTTCATTTTAATTTTAGAAATTTTCATACAGCAGCTACCTCAGAATTACTGTTTTGTAAAACAATTTCACTAACAAAGTGCAAACTTATCGTTACTGTGAGCAACAATCAGATTAAAAACAAAATCTCTGCAAATGTTTTTAGGTTTTGTAACTTTTGCTACATAGTGAAAAGAAATATTTCTATTTTTACTACATGTTTTCAAAGTAAAATGGCCCTCTAATGATGCTATTTGTAAATATTTTTTTTTCGCTGACAGATATTTCTATTTGTTCATTAAGTCCACAACAAAATTTAATGCTTTTCTGATGATTGGTTCCAACTCTAGGCAGCTTTGAAATAGGGTTCTTTAACTCTGAACATACTGTACATAAAAGAAGCAGATATTAAATATATATATCAAGAGAAATAAAACATATTAGTCTTACCCTCAGCCACTGCAGTAAGGGGATCTCCATCTGAAGCATCATCGCCAAATAATTCCCCCAGGTTTTCAATTCGATCAGAGAGGGTAGATAAATGTCTTTTCACCCATCCTTTTTCAGGTAATGAAATTTGATTTTTCAAGTCTAGAAGAGTTTCTCGAAATTCATCCATTTTCTCAGATGGGGGGAGCATATCTGTTATCCAGCTGAAATCCGGTAGTTGTTCTTTCCATTCATCATATTTCTGAAATTTACATAAAAATTTGAGATTGTGTAACCTTAGCAATCCAAAATTTTCTTAATATTACAAATTAATAACAAAAGACTCATTAATGGTACTGGAAGAAGGTTGCAAAATCTCATTTGGTACTCGGAAAAAACATGGGAAATGACTTTCAGTTATGAGATCATTAATCTACTGCAGAAGACACTTAAAAGGACGGGAAACACAAGATAGTGAATCATAATTTGAAGCCTCACTTGCAGAGAATGAGACTTTATTTCATTAAAATCACATTACTGCTATTAATGATCAGCATCTGAGCATTACTAGAAGTACTGGATTGTACTTAAAAAATTGGTTTGATTGAAACTGTATTCATTTAAGTTTTCTGTTCATTAACGTTATATTTCCTCATGCCATAAATTTCTTAAAATATTATGGGATAATGATTATATGGTAAAACAGAAGAGATAAAAGTGTATATATCAAATGATTTGAAAACAGTATTAAAAAGCCAGAATAAAATATCAATAGCCTGTTAACACAGTAGTTTCTCTCTGGTGAAAAAGAATTTTAACCTTATGATTTTTTGTCATTCAAGAAGATAGAAGAAAGATACCAAATGTTACTTATCTGGATCTTGTCCATAAATGAGTATAACATAAGGAAACAAAGAGTTGCTGCAAGCTGTTTACATAATGACTATAGAGTAATTCCTGTGTGCAAGCTGTATGCATAATGACTATAGAGTAATTCCTGTATGCAAGCTGTATGCATAATGACTATACAGTAATTCCTGTTAAGTAGCTTAGTTTACTTCATACACAGCTGATTGTAAGACATTTATAAATGAAACATACACAATTATATTACACAATCTGGATTTAAAAATACAGTAGTAGAAATCCATTAATACCTGAAATCCACATAGCCTTCTCGATGTCAAAGACTAAATGTGGATAGTTTTTGCAATTTTTCAATTTTATTGGCAGCAGATTTCCTCATTCAGTCTAGAAGTAAGCTATTATACTTTATTGATATTCACTTTTATGACTGTCACCAGATAAACATTTTGTCAGAAGTCACTAAACTTATATCTACATCTAATGATTAACTTTGTGCTGCTTTAATTGAGAAAGACTGTCATAAATGCAATTCTGATACTCTTCTATGAATATGAAAGGAATCAAAACAAGTGCAAGAGTGTAAAATGTTTACATCATGAATAAGTATATCTCACATTGTGATTTAGCATGTTTTGATCATATATGTAATAATACTAATACATGTAGTGTATGTAATAATACTAATACATGTAGTAATACTAATACGTGTAATGTATGTAATAATACTAATACATGTAGTAATACTAATACATGTAATGTATGTAATAATACTAATACATGTAGCAATACTAATACATGGAGCATATATTAGCTTCTTCAGCATATACTTTCAATTAAAAAAAAAAAAAAAAACTGTATCTTTTAAGAGAAATTATATGCGATAAATAAGCTGCTGATTAGATAATTTAGTTTAACTTATTAATTTTGAATCAGAAGAATTTCATTTCATTTTTGAATTTAACCATATCTACACTGTCAAAATCTTACACTACATATGTTTGTAATACTGTACGGCACAGATTACCCTTTCATAAATAAGTACCATCAGTAAAATTTGGCATTTATACTTTGATTATCAAAAAAATTTTTAGTTATATTTTAAACCACTTTTCTCATTCTGAATTTATACTAAAAATTGTATATTTTGTGTGGATCATAACAGGTAGCTGATTAATCACTGATTTCATTAAACAGCAATATATTATATATTATAATCTATGATCCCCATTATTAGAGCATTTTATTTAAAACTGTAGACTTCAAATAAATACAGTCAAAAGTCTTTAATCCGGACTCATCGGGACTTCGACGATCCCGGATTATCGATTTTTCCGGATTATAGATCATCAGTTTAAATCTGGTAAGATGTCATACAGAAATTATAAAATTAAAAATATGAAACCGTAATTTATAAAATAATGAGCAATTATGATCTAAAGGGTATCAAAATTTACAAAAAAAAAAGCTTAATATTTATTTGTTTACTTTATTAAACATTTCTTCAACGTGCGCATGCGTAAAGCATACATTACGCATAGCCTAAATTAGAAAATTGCAACCAGAAAACTATTTGATTTGTATTCGTGATATTTATAATGACGAGGAATTTGATTTAAATCATATCAAAGACAGAGTACATCGAGATAAAATACTACATTTAGTAAGGAATTATAAGCCGAATAAAATAAAAACATCTGCCCTGAAGATAACGATAGTGCTGACAGATCAACTTCCAGTTCACTGCGCGCCGCGACATCCCCCCCTCCCGCGCAGAGCAGCGTGAAATTGATAAACGGATTTCGGAACGGTTAGAGAAACAAAGGATATGCCTTTATCCATTTTTTGTAGCAATTCCACTTTTTGTTTGATGGACATCGAAACATACTTTCGTTTTGTAGATGCTTTGGGAGCTCCAGCATCGGAAATTCTATTTGACATAATCGAAAGTTCAAGCTTACTTTTATAAAATTGCTCTTACAGTCTGCAAAAAATAAGCCGGATCCAATTCGAAGATTAAGGAACAACGCAATCGTCAACTTTAACTGAAATAGATAATTAGATAATTTTAGCTTATACCGTCCGTTATACATTAAACGCGAACGAGAAAACGTATTCTGCGCTTGCGCAGACGCATATGCGCAGTCATCAAGGTCTTGCACGCACGCGTAAACGCCTATGCGCATGCGTCAACGTGGCGCATACGCAGAAAGATTTTAGCTTTGAGGTCCGGATTATAGACCATTCCGGATTATGGGTGTCCGAATTAACGACTTTTGACTGTATTTTCTTAGAGAAGTTTATAATAAATATTAATTGAGTATTTATCACAAACATCTTTCTTATATTTATCTTATCTGCATCTTAAAATAATTATAATTAATTTCTAAAGTGTGCTAAAAATAAAATATTGAAATTATAAATATCTTTTTCAGTACATAGAATATAAGTAGGGAGAAACATACTGAAAATGTGAAATCCCATAATCATATTACAGTAACTAGAAGCAATAAGTTAATTATATTGATAATTTTTTACAGTTTGTAATTTTAGTAAGATAACAGGTAAAGAGTTCTGAAACAATAATAAAAAATTTTTTAAAGAATTTCATAGTACTATTGACGCTCTGCTTCGAAACAAGCATACTCTGACTCTTTCCTACTTTCATGTTTGTTGCCAGCTTAGAGTTATAACATATTTATGGCTTCTGATCCAGACACATTTTTCATGCGAGATTTTGATATGAAAATTGAGATAGCTTTCATTATTTGGAAGATTGCAAACAGCTGTCATTAAATTGTTTCAGGATAAGAAATTATATGTAATGAAATGCTATGTTCAAACAACTTCGTCTTTGTTTTCAAGTTGGAATAGTTCTTGGATGTAGAGTTAGGGTTACTATTACAATTTCAGCCTACATTTCAAACCAACAGTTATGTTTGATGAAGACTTTTTCCAGGGTCAGCAATAGGCATTTTGCCAGCTTATGCAATCTCTACAAATCCTAAATTTTGCTGCCCCCCCTAAATTCTGATACCCAGGGTCTCCCCTAAATTTTGTTGCTGGGTGCTTCCTGAAATCCAAAAATTTTGAAGCCCAGTGTGACTGTGCTATCTTTCATGCCTCCCTCGCTGCTATCCCATTTTCAAATTTTTAACTTTCATTATGAATGTAATTAAAACTAGTACTTCATATTTTCTATCACAATGGTACCTTCAAAATACACTCACGACTCTCTTTGCGAGTATCAAAAAAAATTAACAAACAAAAACAGAACTGTGTGATTAATTAAGAAATAATGATTTCATATTACCTGGTTAAACGTGATAAACAAAAAAATGTGTCTTAAATTCCAATTAACACAGAAAACAATATATTCCTTACACCAGCAGTGGTTTGCTAATTTTGATGACCATGGTGATGCATCAAACTATTCTGCCATCTTAGATAATCAATAATATTTTTTATTTCAATTTAATCATCTATTTATGTCACACCTGCCATCCTCTGAAAGGTTATTGTTAGAAAAGCATTAACAATATATTATCTTGTTAAAATTTTACGCCATAAAAATTGATTTATTCTCATAATTTTAGATGACAAAAACCAATAATCAAAATAAAAGCAGTACTTAATTATTTAAAATGCACATGCACATTTTTGCGGCCTACAGAAACAAATTACTTTAGAGGTTGGAAACCTCATGGCTCTTACAGCTGTTAATAATTAAGAACACAACATGAACAGCCGTGTTACAAATTAGCATTCACCCCTATCGCCGTATTTTCTTCCTTTCATCCCGAACCGAGAACCAGCACCTATCTACGAAAATATTTCTATCTATTTGTTGTTAAAAAATTAAGAAAAAATAATAATAAATAAGAGAAGAATAATATAAATCTGCAAATGCGAACAACGACAATGATAATTCAACAAAATGAATGCAAGAGGAATGGTTGCAAACTTCGACAAAGCGAATAGGATAAATCCACTGGGTTACGAGCTTTGAACTATCGCCAAAGTTGGCGATGTTTACATATACCGGGTTCTCTGTGGAAGTGCTTCCAAGGCAATGTTAATAATACAAAATTTTAATTGGTAAATCATATATAGACATTATTAACATGACATGACTTACATGATCAAAATACTGATAAGCAAGATGATTATAAGTGTGCAAACCAAATGACTTCTAATCAATTCAATTCATACTGAACACGGATTTTTCTCAGGAATTCATCACAAATCAGTTAACTGCAATTAATTTTTGGTACAATGATTTCGAATAAAAACAGCTCAAAATGAGGTCACCATTTCCCAACTGTTTTGAGTTGTTCTGCACCTTAAAATAGATGACTTCTTGTAAGACCTCATATTCGTAATAGGCATAGAAAAAAACTGCTAAAAATCCATGCAAGCAATTTAATCAGTTCTTGGATCGAATTGTTGAAGTTGAGAGGACTACAACAATTCAATGATCCTATCAACTGATGAAACTTATCTTTTTAATTACATTCTTTCTTAAATATTAATTACATAACTAACACAACAGGTTTTATATTCATTCTTAGCATTATATGTATTTGATACGCATGATTACTGAAACAGATAATGGGGAAGCAAGTGTTTAATAATCACCGTACAAAAGCATGCAGACGAAATAACAATGATTTAAAAAAAAAAAAGTTAGACTCGTAATACCTTAGACAATTGTACACCACCGCCGACGGCTGATCCTAATATTATGTATCGAATTTTTAAGGCACCCTTGAGCATGCGAACTACAATAGATACATTTCTTTTACCATAAAATGTAAAAGTCAACCCTCTCAGAAGATGACTATTAGGAGACTTGCGAATAAATGTTGAATACTTATGATTGAAGCTTTTTAAGCAAATGGAGCTATGTTTGATGAACTTGTTTCCACTCATGTTTTAGTGAAAATTTAAATTATATTACAGCTGATTTAAAAAAAAAAAAAAATTAGTTACAGAAACTTCACTATCCACTATCACTCACTGTAGATGCAGTAATTGCAATAAAATACAGAAACGCATATTGTAAACATGGTTTAAATACATGATATGCATCCCTGGAACATTACTATAATATCATCAAAATTGTAGAAAATGTTAACAAGCATCAAACACATGATATTCGGTTTTCACCAACATATTTAACTCAAACGCCGACAGACAGACAGAAAAAGTAGACAGAATGTCTTGTTTTGCACCCGCTAAGCCTTTCTGCCCTCGGAGCGAAAAATCAAGCTTATACGCGAAGGAAAGGCAAATAGAAAGAGAGCAGAGATTTAAAGATAAGATCCAGAACAAATAACAATTATGCGCCCAAGTAAAATACAGACGGTGAAAGAGAATTGGGAAGAAAACTAACCATTAATGTCTCCTACATAGAACTACTAGAGAAAAAGAAGCCTTTTACCAAGACCAACTAGATGTCTACCAAAAAAGAAAACGTTAGTGAACGTTAGTAAAGAAAATCTCTCTGGTTTACCCGAGGAGATATGTGCGTTTGCAGACAAGGTGTTAGGAAAAGGTTGGAGTCAGCTATTAAACAAGGATTGTTACGATGCGGAGGATTATCAACTCGCGCTTCAGCAAGTTCTGCTTCTGAATGTTGCAGTTCATGTAAATGAGCAGTTAACGGAAGATGATCTCAATACATTATCCAGTGAGGAAGATAAGCAAAAACGTCTGGATATACACCAAAAAAGGAGTGGAATAGCCAAAAGACTGGCTTTGTTATTTCAGGGTAAGTGCGACGTTTTTAGTGCCCAAAATCCTAGTATTGTAAATTTATCTTGTGATAAGTTGAATGTGAATGTTGTTAAGCATATCCCTAAGATGCAGGTTATATCTACTATTAATTCTGTTAACTGTAATGATACTATATCAAGTGTAAAAAATGTTAGTGATAAATCTGGTGCAATTGCACAAATTCCTAGCGGAGAAAAAACAAAAATTTTGCTTAAACGGCCTTCGAAAAAAGGAAAAAGATGTGTGAGCGAAATTCAGGATTCAGAAGGCTTTACACAGCCGCGTAATACGGCTCGGCCTGCTAAATTAGTCAAAGCTAATGCAGAAATTAATGTTAGCAATAAATTTGATAAGCTAGGTGAAAATGCTAATGCAGATAATACTGCCACTAATAATGATATGGAAGTTAGTGAAGAGAATGAGGTTATTGAAATGCAACAACCGAAGGTGAAACCGATAATTGTGAAGCCTCCAATTAAATTTTTGGATTTCTCTAAAAAATTGAGGGCTGAAACTAATTTAGACTTTGCAGCTAAAGTTACTGGTGAGTTTTTTAAAGTTTTTCCGAAAACGGAAAATGATCACCGTCAGATAACAAAATATTTGGATGAAAAAAGTGTAGACCATTATTTAATTACCAGAAAGATGGATAGGCCCATCAAAATAGTTATAAGAGGTTTACCTATCGATTGCCCCTCAGATGACATTTTTGAGGAGCTGGTTAATTTAAAGTATAAACCTCGAAAAGTTACCCCAAATGCACAGAACCAAATCTAAGGCTCCTATGCCTTTGTTTCAGGTTCATTTAGAGAATGTACCAGGGGTGCAATCTATTTATGATGTTAAAAAACTGCTATGTTTCTTTGTTGAAAATACATCCTTATAAAGTGCGTGGAAATGTTGTGCAGTGTCACAACTGCCAACACTTCCATCACAGTAGTGAAAATTGCAAAACTACAACCAAGATGTGTGAAATGTGCAGGTGCACATCGTACTGATAAATGTAATGTTAAAAAAATTAGACTCTCCTATTTGTTGTAATTGTCTGCAAGAAGGACACACCGCCAATTATCGCGGATGTCCGAAATTCCCCCGACGCATAGTCGGAAATAAAACTGTGAATGAATAAGAGTGCAAAAACTCAGAAAATGTAAATAATGGTGTTAAAATGCCTAGTACTTCTAATGCAAACTTGAGTTATCCTGCTGTTGCCTCCGGGCGCAGTTATGCTAGTGTAGCCAAGGGTGACGTTCAAAGATCTGTAAATACTGTTAATAATTTTAATGTTGATATGCATAAACAGACTGTCAGCAGTGGTGGTGCTGCTAGTGCTACTGTTGGTTCGGGTATGTTTATGGACTTTCTCAAAATAATCAAAGAGGTGTGTGATGTTTTTAAAGGCACCACAGTTATGAATGTTTTTCAAAAAATCTCGGCAGCCATGCCTGAACTGCGGGCTGCGGAGCATTCAATCGATAAGTTGTTTATATTATTTAATGTTTTTGACAGTGTGTTTTCCAATGTTGAATAATTATGTATAGTGTAAACAATAGGTACTTAAGTATTATTACTTGGAACGCAAATGGTTTGTTCCGTAAGATTAATGAATTGCGGGATTTTGCAAGTGAGCACAGTCCCGACTTAATTTTCCTACAAGAACACAAGCTTGACCCTAAAATACCATTGTGTGTGGCAAATTACTATACCTACAAGTCGCACAGAAGTACTACCGCTCCTCGCCCACGTGGAGGTGGCACTGCACTTCTTGTCAAACGCTGCATTCCCCATTATCACGTGAACATTCCACAGCTCTCAGCCGTAGAGGCCACAGCTATCTGCATCACAACAGACATTAACACTCCATACACTTTTGTCTCCACCTACATTCCTCCCATGAGACCTGTGGCTGTCGTTCAGGACAGACCTTGAAATTCTACTCACACTTGGTACACATGTTATTATTGGTGGAGACTTGAACGCAAGACACCGCGCATGGAACTGCTACACTTCTAATGCAACAGGCAGACTGATTTATTCCTTGGCCGCGTCGGCACGGTTTAAATTGGCAGTTCCAAGTACCCCAACAACGGTATGCTGCTGGGTCCACCGCAATTATTGATTTTTTCTTGTTGCGGAACACCAGTTCTCCACTGGATATTTCCGTACTGGACGAACTTTCAAGTGATCACAATCCTGTTAGGATTATTCTGGACCTCAGCAGATATACTACATCAGACACCAGGGCCTTTCGTACAGACTGGCAGGTCTTTGCCAAAGCCCTCTCCAACACCCAGTACACTTTACCCACGATACACAAGGGGAGTGACATTGATAGTTTGGTCAAGGACCTCACTGAAAATATACAAAATGCTTATGCGAAAGCACAAGTTGAAGTTAAACCTGGTATGAAACACAAGCCTCAAGAGCTCAGATTATTGATTAAAGAGAGAAATGCTGCAAGACGAGCGTATCAACGCACCAGACACCGTGATGATAAAAGGAACTTCAATCGCCTGTGCGAAGCGGTCAAGTTTCTCACAAATAAACTCTCACAAGATCGCTGGACTAACTACCTCAGATCTCTTTCTGCAGAGGATAACTCCTTATGGAAAGCAGTGAAGAGGTACAAAAAATGCTATAACGCCATTCCGCCCCTTCACGGCCCTCAACGGATCCATTACACCGGAACTGAGAAAGCAGAACTTTTAGCTCAGCATCTGGAATCTCAATTCTGCACTAACAACATTTCAGACTCAGACACTGAACAGCTTATTGCTGACTTCCACTCCAATTTTACAACACAGCCATGCACAGACAACATTATCTCAGCCATGCCATCGGAGGTCTGTCTCTATATCATGCGAATTGCGAAAAGGAAGAGCCCTGGAGTAGACAGTGTCACAAATGAGATGATCAAGCACTTCCCTGTCAAGATAATACTCTACTTCACCAAGTTAGTGAATATCATACTACGATGGCAATACTTCCCAACTTGTTGGAAAACTGCCAAGATTGTCCCTCTGCTAAAGCCCAACAAGCCTGCGACTGCTCCTGAGAGTTACCGACCAATCAGTTTGCTAAGCTCAATTAGCAAAATCGTGGAAGCAGTTATTCTACATAGACTAAACATCTTCCTAGATGAGCAGAAGATCCTCATACCCTATCAGTTTGGGTTCAGGCGTAAGCACTCGACAACGCATCAACTCTACAGAGTTGTTGAGTTAATAAGCAGTGGGATGCAACAACATCGTGTCACTGGTGGACTTTTCTTAGATGTCGCCAAAGTCTTCGATAGAGTATGGCTGGATGCCCTCATATACAAATTACACAAGCTGGGACTCCCAGGCTACATCACAAACATAATTAAATCCTACCTAACCGGTAGACACTTTGTCGTTCATGTTTCAGGTTCATTATCCACAAACCGGCCCATACGGGCTGGTGTTCCACAGGGATCCCTTCTAGGCCCTACCCTATTCAATATTTACGTGAACAACATCCCCACTACACACAACACAACACTAGCCATGTATGCAGACGACACAGCGATCCTTACGCAAAGTGCATTTGTTAGTTCAGCAATACAACAGCTACAACACCACATCCACTCGCTAGAGACTTGGCTGACCAAATGGAAAGTCAAAGTGAATGTCGACAAGACACATGCCATACTGTTTACTACTAAGAAGAATTTCCCGACTCACCTGCAAATGTATGGTGTGGACATCCCCTGGGTCAAGCAGGTCCCTTATCTTGGGGTGATCCTCAGTAAATCTCTTACATGGAACCCACACGTTACACATATTCTCAGGAAGTTTCGAGCTAGTAAAGCTTCACTCTTCCCCTTAATTGCTCGAAACAGTGTTCTATCTATTCATAATAAGTTGCTCATTTACAAAACCATGTTGCGTCCAATTCTTAGTTATGCATGCCCCGTCTGGGCATACTCGTGCAAAAGTTTGAGAAGGCAGTTACAAGCTGCCCAAAACGGGGTATTGCGTATGATATGTAATGCCCCCTGGTACATTCGGAATAGCCAGATTCGTAAAGAGCTAAGAATAGAGGATCTTTGTGATTTTTTATTGCCGCCTATCTAGGGCATTTTATGATAAACAGGAACTTCTGGACAATCCTGTGGTTGTTAACTATTGTTATGATACTAGGGACCCCAATTTCAGTAAGCGCCCAAGGGCGATCCTAAATGTTAGTAATGTGTAATTTTGTATATGTGTTATGCAAATTGTTGCTCAAATTCTTTATTGTATATTGTTCTTTTTTTTTTTACTAGTGGCACTAAGGCGTCGCACTTCGTATTTTGTTTCTCACATTCAGTTACATTTCTCATAATTCGAAACTTTTATCATGTTATTCGATGAGGGGTAGGGCTATGGCGCCCAGGCACCCTGGTGGTTAAGCACCGCAGTTC